CCTAGATACGACGATTACGTCGAAGGGGGGGGGGGGGCNGGGGGGGGGGGGGCATGACATTGGAATTTTTATTTTCCGCGATTTTACTCGCGGCACGCAGTGGATTGAGTCAATAGGAGAGGTCGGACAAAATTTGGAAACTTTAAAAGCTTACAACTCCATTTAAACAAAATTTTGAGGTTCTATAAGTGTTTTCATCGGTTTCCTAGTGAAATTTTCTTCCAGAAACACCCCTTAACATTGAAAATGTGACGAAATAAACATCAAAGTTTGCAGTTTTAGACAAAAAGATTTTGTCCGACCTCTCCTATTGACTCGATCCACTGTGCGGCACCGGGATAAGCCATAGGCGAGTCGAAATGTATCTGAAACTATGAAAGAATATACTTAACGTGAGAGTCATCGCATGCATATTGACGGTGAAACCCCGTGATCACACGTGTGCGTGTTTTACCTAGATAACAAAATTTTCACATCCTTGATTTTTTAACGAGAGCTACTGGAAATATTTGCAAGACGTTTACTGTGTTAAGGAAGAGCTAGAAAAAATCAAACGATTTTTTTTTAAAGATAAAGATGATCGGTCATGATTTAAAAGAGTAAAAAGTTACAAAAAATCGGCGATGTCGCAAACCGAGATTCGTGCTTTTAACAATTGATACTCGGTTGAATCAACGGCGAGGCGTGAATAATCGATATATTTCCATTTAAAGCTACGGTAGGAAATCGATGATTAAAGTGTTCGTTGCGAACCCCCTTAGTCCGAGNGGTATGATCTTTAATAATAGACTTGTCTGCCGAGCGTCAGGAGTTTGTCACCAGATGGTGTTTTTTGGACCACTTTGAGGGCCTAGATGAGGGTGATGGCACAGGCTAGAGGGCGGCAGACAAAAATTTTCCGTTTCAGTGCATGCAAGGCTATCGATTTAGGGGGTCAAAACATGTATCCCGAGTTTGTCACTCAAAGTCGTCTGGCTCTCGGACTACCTGTGTTATCGATCCTTTTCCATCAGGCACGTAGCCAGGATTTTGCTGCGGGGGAGGGGGGCTCGTGGGGTCTTTCTAACTGGGGAGTATGGAAAACCCTCCAGACCTGAGAGGGGTCCGGGGGCCCTCCCCCGGAAAATTCTAGAAATTTGTAATCTAATTAGACGCATTTTGAGACTTCTGCGACGCAGATTTTTCATCAATGTCTGCAGAAAAATTACGTTTCCTTTTTGAACTTTCAGCAAAAAAGACTTGAATTATATGCATTCAAACAGATCCTGACAATTTTTGAAATTTTAACTCTAATTCGACACATTTCGAGGCTTCTGTAACTCAGATTTTTCATAAATTTATGCAGAAAAATTACGCTTTTTTCAGGGTCGGACTGGCTCGCATCTGACGGCGTAGACCCTTGGTTGGTTAAAGGGGTGTATTGTGATATTTCCTAGTAGGGCATTCCCTACGTGGAGAGGGGTTCAAAAAATTTTGGCAAATCAGCACAAGTTTACGCTATTTTCAGGTTCAAAGTCTATTGATCGCACGGAGTAAAAATAGCAAAATTGAACGTGAAGCTCAACATTGAGAGCTCACGCTTCGCGCCATCGCGCCTTCAATTTTTTAGATGCAGCACGGACGTCCATCAAGTACGAATAGTTGTATCTCTGCGCCGTCGTTGACGCGCATCCTTTCCCTCGCTTTATTTCCAGATTGTGTTTGTTTCCGTTTGTCTTATTCGTAATGGTCCTTCAAGCACTACGTGAATAACACAGCCGAAGGTAGGAGAGATGTGTTCGGGCCTCTTTTTTAACTTTTCTCCCGAATCTGAGCGACACCTCATTGGCAGCATATGAGAACTCACGCTTCGCGTCATCGCGCCTTCAATTTTTCAGATACAGCACGGACGTCCATCAAGTACGAATAGTTGTATCTCTGCGCCGTCGTTGACGCGCATCCTTTCCTTCGCTTTATTTCCATATTGTGTTTGTTTGCGTTTGAAAAAGGTCGTCCATTTCCATTAAATATCTCACCTTTATATCTGTTGATAGTTGGGATTTTCCCTTTGCGGCTGACGAGCACGTACCTATTATCAAATACATGGAATCTTACGGGAGTTTTTAGAATAAATGATTTAGCGTTGGAATTTTCATCGTAAACGCACTGGATGAATGGCTAAGTTCAATATCTGGACTCAGATTTTCAAGTTGGTTCTAAATTTGATATAAGTTCGTATTCAGCAACAGTTCCATAAGAAGCCATAGAAACTGACTGTCTTCGTCCTAACCTAATTGTTGCTCCAGGTGTGTTACGAATTTCACTGTTTGCGTAGCATAGGATCCCCCTTTCTATAGTTTATAGATCGTTGAGAACTCCGTAAGAGCCTTCAGGCGTTGCCAAATTTCCTTCGACAAATCACGAATTCTCAGGAAAATTGGGGAATATTCCTTATCCAATTTCCCAGAGGATTTTGTTTGTAATTACGTCTAAAGAGACGGAAAATTTCAAGAAAAAATTATTTATAACTTTCTTCCAAAACAATATTTTCTGAAGAGAAATTTGGCAACATTTGAAAGCTCATACGGCGTTTTTCTTTAGCACGGCAGTATTATACACTTTTAGATCGAATGAAATTGATATTTTTCCATTAGGTAAGAAACATCTATCTTAGAGGATACAATACGTTTCTTGTATAATCCCTAAAAAAAAATGGGAGATTATTATTAGTTAACCACTTAAAATTTAAACTTAATTTAGGAGGGTGAATAATTCACGCATTCGATGAATGAGAAGGACGCATCATAAAAAGTCAGATTAGCTAGATTCCTGTTTATCACATTTATTTTAGAAGGAACATTTCTTATAATAATAAACTGGTCGGTAAACATATTTACAAAAATATTAAGTAAAAAAGTGGGAAAATAATTTAAACTTCTCGGATCACAAAAATACAAATACCTCGTTAAAAATAAACTGTGCTAGAAAAAATAAAAGATTATTACTTTTTAAATAATTTTCTCTCCAAAAACAAGAAAAAAGAAAACTTTCTTGGATGTACAAAAATATGTATAGTTATGTGGACGTGAATAATCTATTCAATAGAAAGCTCAACTATAACTTTCCAATTAGCAAAAATGAAGGAGTGCTTCGATTTATGAAAATAACAAATTCTAGTGGCGAAAAAAAAGCTACACGACTTGCGTGAAGAATATTTTTGACACTGAATACATACTCAGTTTAGGGGCAATTTTTTCCCCCTGATGACATAAATTTTACTCGATTTATCGATGAGATGTAGGTACTTTTAAAAACTAGACATTAAACTTGGTTATCGTCAACTGGGTATGAGCCGTCATACTTAGGTATACAAAATAGAGAGTGTGAAAAAATTGAGATTTTGTAAATCATCACAAAATGAGAACGAAGGATCACGTGATCAGTCACAGATGCATTTTTAAATAAAAGTGGGTAATCCAAAAATTCCCGGGAGTTTTTTCACTTAAAATGTACAAGTAAGTACGTAACTAAAAATAATAAAGTATTGGTAGAGTAATAATACAAATTAATGTTACATTGCAACATAATAGCAAAATGACCGCACAATGATGCGGATATCACTGAGAAATAGTCCCGATGGCGACAAATGAGAAATTTTGAGACTTGCTCAATGCGAGATCTACGGTACCTATTAATTATTATTCAATCTAACTAAATACGAAAAAATAGAAATCCCAGCCTTCAACAAGGATTTTTAAATTTACACCAGACTTCTCTGTAAAATTCCGCGAATGACAAAGACGATGCACACAACTAGTTTTCTTTAAAACTAATTTCGGAGTCCAAAAAAGCTTTCAAAATGAAAGCCGTAATAAAGGAGTATCTGAACTCCTTATGAGATGAGACTGTTTTCATTATCAGCAAAACTCACCATGCTTAGATAGTTAGATGGGGCTCGATACATTAGTAAAGTTGCCACGCTGGGGCGTCGCCATCGCGTCTGGATGAATATGTCAAGATAGTAATTTTTAGGTCGGATTGATGGCAACCCTGCCGATGTATTAGCCCTATCTATAGGTATGCATCGTGAGATTGAACAGGTATGGAAATTGACTCTCACAGAGCAAGTGCTTTTCTCTATAACAGCCTTAACTTAAAGGGTCCTTTCTGAGGCCTGCTAAGTGGTTTTAAAGAAACTCAGGGTCAAAATCGAATGATTCATAATATTTAGCGCAGGAATGAGTGGTATGGAAAGATGAAAAATAACGCACAGCCAGTTATTGCTGTTGTAATGCATACGTATTTTTTCGAATGTCATTATATGTTCACGACAAATTCGCTCTGCCTCAGTGACGTCCATTTGTATCAAAATAGACTGAGCATGAATAATATGCTAAAACTAATAGTAAAGAAAAAATCAAATCGGTGAGCTAGACGTTATTCTCAGTTCTTAAAGACGATTCCCCTTAAAAAGTGCTTAAAGTTCAATGCACTTGGCCTTAAAAAAATATGGGGATAAAAAAAAAAGAACATTAGGTAATACCTACATAATTTTCCAAATGAGATAAAAATAAGTCACCTTTCTGGGTTTCTAATTGAGCAAACATGCCTTTAAGTATAAAATTAAAACCTCTGATAAACGAGGCTAATAATGAGTCTTATAAAACAAAAGGAACGAGAAAAACTTATTCTGGGGAGAAATGTAGGTCTCTACTTAGAAAATGAATTTGCAACACCCAACGCTGGTAAAATTCAAAACTAAGTAATTGAGCACGTTGCCAGGGACATGGTAAGCATCTAGTAGTCTCAATACGAAGGGTGGGTGGGGGCGGTCGAGTATCATGTAACACACTTCGGACAGTAATGGGGGGACGGGGGGGGGGGGGGGGGGTTGTTGTTGTTAGATCTGCATCTCCACTCTGATGTAATATGAAGAGTGGCGTGGGGTTCAAGCTCAGTACTTCGCAACGATTCTACAAAATTGCGTCATATTCTTGAGGAGAAAAATGTTAATGTACCAATTTTCGTCGATAATCCTAGGGAAAGGGGGGGGGAGGTTCTAAGAAATTTTACTGAACCCATGGAAGGGGTGCGAGAGTGCATTTCATGTGCATTTCAGTGGGGTAATAAATAAAACTGAAGGGGTGCGTTACAGATCACTTGCGCCCCCTAGGTATAAACTACGTGGTGTTGTAGTGCGCAATGTGTGTGAAATTATGGTGTTCTTGTTTTCTCTTGAGCACAATTATGTGCTTAGAGCTGTTTATACACTTTATATCTTTAACAGTCTAAGAAGAAAAGGCATGAAGTATCCTCAAAAAAGTAAGATACATTAATATCGCGCATGGAAAAGTACCCGTGCGCTACGTTTCACGTAACGTCTGAGAATTCAAAAGAGGTTTTTCAATCTCTAAAGATATACAAACGAAAAAGTACAAAAAAAAACATACAAGCATTAACAACTAATGAGAATAAAAGTAAGTGAAAATATGATCCCGTATTTCTTACTGAGGCGAGTATCATCACATTAGACGAGCATTATTCATCAGAGAAAAAGACTAGGAAAAATTGCTAACGCCTGAGGTATAAAACGCGTATAGGAGGTTGACGTCGCATGGAAAGACCAAAAATAAAATGAGCATTGCTCTTAAGTTTAGAAAATGAATTCGTGCTCCTTGTCAAAAAATACAAACACGCAATGAGAAACTATTTTCAGGATTTTAGGATCGAAAAATTGTGCATGAAATCCATTACTGTGAAAATTAGATACTGTTCATGGTCGCTGCTCAAACCATCCATAGTTTCTTTCATGAGCTGAGGAGGGTGACCTTACGACTTCTCCCTGAATTCAACCCTACCAACGGACAAAGCGTCCTCATCGAGTTCACTATCGTCGGTGGTTTCCCGCCTGAGCCGGACGCCCGAGGGGTTGGTGGACGACGGCGAGGCGATCCCCGAGTCGGGGTAGCGGTACCAGGAGGCATCGCGGGGTCGCTTGGCGGCAGGCTCGGTGGAGTCCACGTCCGGGCAGACCATCTGGGCCTCGTAGATGATGTTGTTGATCAGGTGCTTGACTTTGCAGAGAGTGTGCCTGTCCAGGTGTCGGAGCTCGTTGGCGATGTGCTCGCCGTAGACGGCGAACTCGTCCCTCCGCGGGTAGTGGTCCCAGATGTAGGGGTTGAAGCGCTCGAAGAGTGGCTGCGGCTCCTCCGCTTTCTTCCGCTTCCGCGGGAAGCTCACCGGGTGGCTCCCGTTGACGGTGGGGTTGCCGTTGACGTTGGAAGCGGCGGCTTCGAAATCGACTCCCGATTCTACGCCCGGACAGGAGCGGTCGTCGGACTCTGTCCCGTCTTCCAGGTAGGCGGCTCCTTCGCGCAACGAGACGTCCAACAGCTCCGCCATCAAGTCTACATCGCCTTTCTCTCCTCCATTCTGAAAAAAGAACGGGCAAAATTACTGATCGGTGAGAAGAAAGAGGAGAAGGAAGATAAGGAAAAATGATGAGGAAAAGAAAAAGAAGAAAAAATAAGCTGGAGAGGGAGAAGAAGGAGAAGATTAACAACAACAAAAACAACGGCAAGAAGAAAAGGGAGGAAGGAAAGTAAGAAGAAAGGAAGAGAAGAGAAGGAGGGAAGAAGAAAAAGAGGAAGAAATGAGAGAAGATATTGACGGCATAAGCTCGCAACCACGTATCTCGTTTGTGGTGTTTGAGAACAGGCTCGGACTGACCATAAGGCCAATCTGCCATTGGCAGATACCAGTGGCGTGGCGTGAATTGCGATGTATCGATTGTTGTGCTATTTAATCCTATGGTAAAGAATCGATTATTCAGGTGTTCGCTGCGAACAACTTGTTTATCGATCCTTTTCCTTAGGTTTGAATGGCATAACAATCGATATATCGCAAAGCACGCCACGCCACTGGCAGATACGCCCCCTTGGCGCGCCAAAAACGCGCCCCTCTTACAGATGGCAAAATAAGGAGAAAAAAAATTACGACCGAGAATATGTGAGAAAAACGTTTTAAAAGAACGGAAGAAGAGAGAGTTAGGAGTAAAGAAAGGTGCTTTAACGCATGATAGTGGTGAACAGAGGTCCAAGAACTACTTTCTGAAGCGTAGACAATTTTCTGTGAAATTGTCGCCTACTTCTTGACATACAGGCGCTTTATCATCTCCCTCCTTCATTCTCTATGTGTAACTCCCGTAGAAGCGATAGCCAGTTCGATTTTTAAACATACGCACACTTCATAGACCTCTTGAGAGACCTTTAACCTTTTCAAAATGACTATTGATTTGGACATATCACAGCATATCTCGGGAAAACTTAACCATAATTTATTTCGAAATTCAAAAGTAAGAGACATCTAAAGTGTAAACGCGATACAACTATTCGAGCAAGATGGATGTCACAATTGCATTTGAAAAATGTAAGACGCGATGCCGCGGGTGGTGAACTCACAATGCTCTGCTCTAGTTTGAAGCAACATTATAAATAAGACAAACGCAAACAAGCACAATATGGAAATAAAGCGAGGGAAAGGATGCGCGTTAACGACGCGCGACGGCGCAGAGATACAACTATTCGTATTTGATGGACGTCCGTGCTGCATCTGAAAAATTGAAGGCGCGATGACGCGAAGCGTGAGTTCTCAATGCTCTGCTATAATGCTACGGATGAGGTGTCGCTCAGATTCGAGAGAAAAGTTAAAAAAGAGGCCCGAATACGTCTTTCTTGTCGTCGGCTGTGTTGATACTCGTTCTTTCTTCTTTTTTCAGGTTCTTGTCTGATTCTTTTAAGGATGGATTTTTAGATCCACGTCTTAATCTGACTTGAAATTTCACATAAAATTTTGCGTACTAAGAAAAAAATTCACTAAAGTTTTCAAGAACAGACGTGGAGTAGTTATCTATTAAGAAAATAAATTACGGCAGAACGTTTGCGACGTCGCGGTGAAGGCAAACTTGATTTCTCACGCCTGTTTTCAGTATTTCAGACGTTAGCGTGATGAGGGTGCTGAATTATATCTTTTGCAACTTATCTCAGTATTAATGATATCAATAAATTTTTAAGTTAAGCATGTTTAATCAAATTTCAAAATTCCCTGATTGTTCTCTTCCTTTCAATGGCATTTTTGAAAAATCTGGCCATGAAATTCCCAGACGTTTCCCTGACTTTTTACAAAGAAAAAAGCAAAAGGTAGATTCAAAAACATCGATGCAAACTTTGAAGCACCACAATTCTACGTATGAAGATGAAACTTACAAAAAATCCAAATATACGACAACTCACACGCTGCCTGAAAATAGTGGGAAAAATTTCATGCCTTGATAAAAAAAATCACAAGAAAAGGCTAAAAAAAGTAATCAAGAGCAGATAGGCAATAATATTTAGACCTCTTCAAATTTAAATAACGCATAAATTGCGGATTCAGTACTCACGGCACTTACTCGCTTGCAGCAGGGTCGGACTAGCTCGCATCTGAGGGCGTAGGCCCTTGGCTGGTTAAAGAGGCGTAATGTGATATTTCCTGGTAGGGAATTTTGTACGTGGAGAGGGGTTCAGAAAATTTTGGCAAATCAGCACGCGTTTACGCTATTTTCAGGTTCAAAGTCTATTGATCGCACGGAGTAAAAATTGCAAAATTGAACGTGAGGCACAGCATTGAGAGCTCACGCTTCGCGTCATCGCGCCTTCAATTTTTCAGATGCAGCACGGACGTCCATCAAGTACGAATAGTTGTATCTCTGCGCCGTCGTTAACGCGCATCCTTTCCCTCGCTTTATTTCCATATTGTGTTTGTTTGCATTTGTGTTATTAATTGTGTGACATATGTTTTATCTTTGAAATTGCAATTCAATCGATTTCTCGGGGAGAACAACTCTGCATTTCTCCTAGGACGACAAACTTTTCCGGATTCCCTGTGATACTGGGAAAATCCTGTGATACTGGTGCAGTCCCTTCAGATCCCCCTTGATGAAATGTCTTTTAACGCCTTCCAAGATGCTTCACGATGGTGGGACCCCCCCCCCCCCCCCCCCCCC